GCCTTCCCACACTGCAGCACGTAATAATAATCCCGTGAAAATTTTATTTAATTATTTATTAATGGTGCACATGCAACAATCTATTTCTTCCTGTTGTACTCGTCATGATCAAGAAGGTCCTCTAGCAACTTATTGTCGTAATACTCGAACTCGATCACTTCACGCGAGGGCTCTTCCTCCCTCCCCTGCATGGACCCACCTGCTGCGAAATGGGACGAGCTGCTGGGCATGTTATACTCCTCGGGAAAGTTAAGTATGGCCAGATGCCCCCTCATTCCGTACGCTGCCCTGTCGTAGGCCCGGGCAGCCTCCTCAGCTGTGCCGAACGTCCCTAGCCACACTCGCGGGGCCCCCTGACGGGCCGAGTCTCGTATCTCGGCCGCGTATTTGCCCCACGGCCGCTTTCGCACGCCTCTGTACTTTATTTCTCCTGCATTTTGGTTTTCTTGACTGTTTTTTCCTCTGTCATCCATGTTGTTTTGGTTTTTGGTTGATTTTTCGTTTCTTTTTTTTTTTTTTTCCTGTTCTTGTCTTCTTTGGTGGGAGTTATTAACTTATTATTGTGTGTGGAGTGAGGTGGCAATTTATATTATTGTTTCACGAGTCAAAAAAGGTATATTGGAATTTTGACGAGAACAGAGCTATGTTGTCCACGTGGACGAGCTTGTGGTGGAAAACATGTCCCACGTGGATGGAAGCTACCATGTAGACCAGAATTGTTTTATTAGTATATGATATGCATTGTATTTGGACTGGTCAAAGTGGTGGCTTTGGGACTTTTAAGACTGTTTTTTTTACATCACTTTTGGTAAGTTGGATTTCATTTCCCATGCAAATATTTCTTATTATTTGATAGAAAATATAATAGTGAATGGGGGAAAAAAGGATGGATGGAAAGGAACGGTTGTTTTAACAATTATTAGATGCGCACGTGCAGAATTGGATTCCTAATAAGAATCGAGAAATGGTCTAAAACATTGGTGAAGAAGTCATGCTTCTGACATCAGGTGTGACATAATTTAAGAATTGAGTCCACAATCAATTTTCCGTTTTGTGATCATACTGTCCAAATTTATGTTTTTTTTTTCTTTTTTTTTTATTGTATAGAATTGGATAGATAAAACCGCACAAATGTGCAAAGGTATAGCTTCTAACTGAATAATACAACAAAAAGTTGAATAAACTGAAAGGACGGATCAGAAGACCGCTTAGAACCGACACTAGAAATGCTAGAAACTAAAACACAAGACTCACGACACGACTGACGCGACAAAACGCTAAAACACACTACAAATCTCCCAAAAAGAAAAATCAGAGGACCGCTTAGAACCGACACTAGCAATGCTAGAAACCAAAACACACGACTCACGACACAACTGACGCAACAAAACGCTAAAACACACTACAAATCTCCCAAAAGGAAAATAAATAGAAAACGTTCCCAAATGGATACTCACACTCAGGTTCATACACAGGCCAATGGCCCAAACTAAAAACACGAGACCGAAACAAGCAACAAAACCAAAAACCACACTTGACAAAAACAAGAACAAACAAAATAAGCTAGAAAACGAGCCCTTCCACAACAGAATGAAAGAGTCGAACTAGCAGATGAACAATCAACTCCAAGGAAAAAGATCTGGAGGCCCAGGAACCGCAACCAAAACTGCTGAAACGCCTAGCTGAAGCCGAACCCAAGTCTAGAACCAAGCTCAAAATCAATCAGTCTCCAGCCGAAGGAAACCGAACATCGCATCACCCAACTAACGCCACTAGTCGAGACCAGCACAACCCCACCCTACTAACACCACTAGCCGAGTACTGTCGCACTAGCTCCCCCGAGCCCAATAGAGAACCGAGGAGAGAAGAGAAGTCCAGCTCCACTGAGACCTACATGGGCCCTTTGTCGTCTCATCATAATTTTTTCTCCATTCTCCTTCTCGTATTTTGCTCGCATTGTCATGCTACCACTCGACTTTCATCTTGGTCAAGTCATCCTTGATTGTCTTTATTAAGGAGCGGGACTTATTATTATGCCATCATTATTTTTTTGCTATAGTTTTTCATGATGTAGTCTGACACCTTTTCATTTTCAATTTCAAATTTGAATTTTGATGTGATACGTCTTTCATATTCCCCCTCTTCGTATTTCGTGCTTCATCACCGTTAATTCTTGCTTTGATCCAAGGGTCAATACTTCGCTCTTTCTACTATAAATACTCCTTAACCCTTGGTTGAACCACTTTTCACAATCTCGCATTCTTAAAATTTTGTTTAAGCTCTCAGAAATCTCTGCGCTTTCGGCTTTCCTGGTGTCCTTTCACAAATTTCCAAATCTCATATCATCTTCTTACAGATTATCATGTGTAAGTTTTCTAATTCCTTAATTTCTGCAAAAATTATTTCTTCTTGGTGTTTTATGTTGAAGTTCATATGGATGTTCTTCATGTTCTTCGCGATTTTCCTGTGTTTTCTGGCGAACCTAATGTCAGATCTTATGAAACTCCCATCTAGTTTGAGTAATGTGGTTTTTTTTAAGTCAATTTAGAGTGCTAAGTTGACACAACAGTTGCCCGTGAAACCCTTAGTCGACTACGACTAGTAAGTCGATTTGATCGACTTAGCCTTAGGCCTACTTGGTCGCTTTCTTTTGGATCTTCTTTTAACGTATTTGGTTGAGCCTAATCGAGTGATTTACGAGTTTTCTTGTTTCTTTAGACTGTACTCCCCAGAAAATGGTTTATGTCCCTAAGTCGACTTTATCATCTTCCCTGAGTCGACTTGTGATAATATATTTTCGTAAGTTGATTTGTCCCCGCATCATGCGTATCTTTTTCTTAACTCACACTTAGCTTGCACTTTAAGTGTACATATCACGATTTTTATTGAAATTTTCACTAGATTCCTACTCTGATTCCTCTCCCGACACATATGAATGTCTGATTGATGAGGGTCTGCTTTTCTCCGATTCTGTTCAAATAATTGCCTTTAGGCCAGCCGTCGAGCAGGTAAGTCGTGCTCGTGATGTAGATAACTATTCTGATGGGATGTCGATTGGGATGCGTATAATCAAGCACTCTTATCGGGTACCTTGGCGATTGAATTTCAAAATTCTTCTCGAGTCGAGAGTCCTCCTCGTCTAATCCTTATCCCCCGACATATTCCTCTTAAGTTTTTAGATATTCTTGTACATAGAACGAGTCCTATTTCTGTACCAATAATTTCTCCCCTTCCCGAGCCTCAACATGTTGTAACAGTTGTTTCTACATTAGTTAAGTTAGTTGTTCTAAATCCTTCTTCTCATGCCCCTACAGCTAAAATCAACGATTTCAGGGCATATAGTGGACTTACTTCCGACTGGGAGATAATCGCTCCTGGTCCTAAATACAACTTTGCTCATCCTCCTCTAGACTGTTTCACTTTCTCCATTAACCAAATAATGTTCGGACTACGCTTTCCCATTCAACGCGAGCTACTCTCACTTTATAATTTGTACAATGTACCATAAATCAGTTCTCTCGTAATTCTATTGGCATAATGGTGGCCTTTATTATTGTCTCCAAAATAAAGCTGGACCAGTTTCCTACCCGAGTTCTTTTTTTACTGCTACGGGTATCGATTCATAAAGGACTCCCATTGTTTGGGTCGTCGCTCTCACGTTACTTTCCTCGACGAATTCTCTTCGAAAGTCACCGAGTGGAAGTCGAAATACTTCTTTATTCAACCTACTTCTGGTCAATACCCCTTCACGAACGTCTGGATTAATAGCAAGGTCAAGCAACGCAAACGACCTCGATTTGATAAATTTTCTGCCATGCTCGAGGAGCTGAATAGTTTTACTTAGAGTGCTCGTCAACTGATTAGGGATCGTCCCCTTATCAACCACTGTGGTATATGTGTCGACGAGGATGCTCCTCGAGTGGACGATCCTCGTAAGTTAGTTTTTTATTATTCATTGTCCTATGTTTGAGCATTATTCTTGCTACCTTATTCGCATCGTGTGTTAAAAAATATTCTTCTCATCTCGACTGTTTGTATTTATGATTATTTTCTTCTTTCTCGTTGCAGATAAAGTTCTTCAACGCTTCTAGTCGAAGAAGAAAAAGCCCGAGGATAAGTCCACGGGTTGACCTAATCCTCCACAGAAATCCGAAGGCAGGTCTGGTTCTGCTGTAAAAACAGCGGCAGTGAACAGACTGTTGCTCAAAAGTCGAGGGTTGAGAACACTCTCAAGTCACACGAACAGTCGGGCTTTCACTCTCGTAAGAGAGCCCAGGATCAGCGAGACGTGATCCTGGTAACTGAGGCGCTCAAGCGCCAGAAGAACAAGGGCAAGGAAAAAAAATGAGGTCGAGGAATCTTCTCCTATCAAGGTGCGTCCTGTCACCCTTGAACAACCATCTCAACTCCACGACAATCCTAACTCTCATGAGCTTCTTGAGTACATCCACTAAGATCTCCCTAAGGCTGATAGATCTCGGATCAACGCCGACCCTTACCCCTTAGCTCGCTATGCTACTCGAGTTCTGCCAAGGGTAAGGCTCGTTAATGTTTTTCTGCATACTGTCGAGATTTAACTGTTCGCTAATTTCTGACTGCCTGCATCCTCCATTCAATGATAGGGGAAACTGCTTCCCCTCACTCCAACTTCAAAGCCATGGGAGAAATAATTAGCCAAGTGCAAAGAGCTCGACGAGAAGGAAGAGGAGCTCAAGGCTGCGAGGGTCGTCATTACAAAACTGAAGGCCGACAAGGTGGTGGCCTACCAGAAGCTGGAGAAGTTAGGGTCGACCTTGACAAGGCTAACGACGCTGCCCTAGCCGAGAGGGAGGCGAGGCTCCTCGAGGGGTGCATAACCGTCTTGAAGTCTCCCACGGGTTCTGTGTTCCTCGAGCATTATTACCTAGAGACCGTCGAGCAGTTCTGCAACTCCCCGGCCTTCCTCAAGAAACTCTACCCCGCGACTATCCAGTATTTCAATCACAAATTTGACGCATGAGATTCGGTCATGGCTAGATCTGAGTTTTCTGACAAGTTCGATTGCGATGAGGTCACAAAAACCTTGCCTTTACCCGATGGTTATCAAGGTGATCAGTCTCTCCCCTCCGACCACCCGTGGCGGGTTGGTCTCGAGACGAGGGCTATTGCGAGGGCTGATTTGGGTGGTCGACTTGAGGTTATTCTTTTACCCTCACTCGGTCCGACTGACCTAGTCAGGCCAAGTGGATCGGACAACGAGGTGCCTCTAGAAGTTGGGGGAAGCGGAAAAGCGAACGGAGATGAGGGTGAGTGTGACAAGAAGACAGAAACTGTTGTTGCTGACGAGGGAGAGGATGTTGAGAAGTCTACTGCGAATTCTTAGATGTTTGACTTTTTCTCATTTTGGATGTGATTGCTTTTTGGAACAAGTTTCTTGCTCGTCTTCGACCTATATTTGATATCGTTTGCTAGGTGAAGGTCGAGACGACATATT